ATGTCCTCATTTCCATATCTTTGTCTTTCTTCTCCTCTTCTCATTATCACATCTTTTTAACTGATTCCTTTAGTGTTTCTAGTTTTTATTTTGTTTGTCTCCATTGTTTTTTTTTGCCCTTCTAGTTTGTACTCATTTCAGCAATTCCCATGTGGCCGCAGCAAATTCAATTAATTACAAATTTAATCACCCAGGTTACTTCGGGGGCAAAGTAAATATGTGCAAACCTTTTGAGTCGAGTTCAACTTTGGTAAATGTAAATTCTAAAATTGCCTGTGAGGGGACATAGAGCTGGATGGAGGAAGCTATCATAACTTGCAATCTGTCATCACCTTTTTTTAAACCTCCTACAGACAGTTATACAACAGAAGTTGATGGTACATAAATGTGTGACCGTTATTGTTCCTTTAGCGACTAAGCTAACCAGCCTACTAACTGACAGCTAAGAAGCTTTTAGCAAGCTTGTAACTCCCCCCCAACAAACTCTTTGTTGAATGAAATTATGTACAATCCCAAGAACAAAATGTCAGTGGGGAGTACACGGCACAATACATAAAAAATAGAAAGGTTATGGGAGCTATTGACTAGCACTAGCACTGTCCTTACTGTCAGGCACATTAGCAGTTAGTAGTTAGTTAGCATTTAGTAGTTCATCTAGCTTTTGGAACAAAACATAAATAGACGCACAGATGAATTATCTATGTTCTCTCGCCTGTCCTCCATCCATATTTAAAACTGCTGAACGCAAAACACAAAACCCCTAAAACCATGAATTGGCGAATGCAAAAATAATAAAGTGGCATAAGGAGAGAACAGGGTATGGAAAGGCAAGAGGAGAACAAGCTGAAGGAAAGGAAGAAATGAATGCCTCCCCCCCTCCTCTCTCATTTTTCTCGCTGGCCTTTCTTTACATCTTCCCCTTTTCTCTAATTGTCAGGAATGCTGACCTCAGCTCACTTGTTTCTGTGCCAACTCTCCCTTTCTCACTTAATCTAATCATCACACCATTATTTCACTCCTCCTCGTTCCTCATTGTTCCCTTCTTCTTCTTCTCCCTTCCATATATCCTTCCTGCGGCTCTCTGCTGTAACCCGCTGACAACGGACAGAATGAGAAACAAATGAACATGGAGTGAAGTGAGGGGGAAGAAACTGCTGAGTCATACTTACAAGAAAATAATTTCATCGTGATAAGGCTCTGGGGAATATTAGATTAGATTATTGTTTCGTCTTTCCCTACAGTGGTGAAAGAAAAACCTTTGTTGATATCTGTGCAATTATCAATAATGAAAAGTTGCTGAGTCATGGTTGGACAAGAACTATTTAATCATGATAAAGAATTAAATAATTTTCCCCCCCTGTTACTCTGTCAAGAAGAGAAAGTTGTTGATAAGTAGAAAATTACCAATGACAATGAAAAGTGTCTGAGTTGAACACTGAGTGGATTGTGTATTTTGTACTGATAAATCTCTATGGAGTAATAAATTAGATTAGAGCCACATTTTTTCACTTTTGACAGTAACAGGAGAGGTCATGATAATTTTAAACAAATTATGATGAACAGTTAAGTTTATAAAGACAGAGACGAATAAAATCCCCCAGTCTAGAAGAGAAACACTAAAAACGGTGGGGTTTGTGGACGTTTTCAGACTTTCAGGCACATGCATATAATCTGTAACTAACTTTTTCAACTGATGAAATATCCCAATTCAAATGTAGTTACTTCTACATTAAAGCCATCACACATTCTTCCAAGCACAAGATTCAAGGTTTCAGAGGTTTAAAGTGGCTGAAAGTGTTGTCTCCACCACAAAGTCTGGTTATGTTTTAGTGTAGAGATTTAAACATGTTTTATTTTAATGTTCCCTGCCTTTTTGGAGTTTTTTGTGTGTTTCTGCAATATCATTTAAGACTGTTGTGGGTTAAACAAAAAATAACACCTAACCAATGACTTGGAAAATACCAAACCATCATCTTACAGAGCTATCCAAAGCCATTAAAATGAAGAGCCAAAGTCTTAAAAATACCCATATGAGAGCTGAGCCATAGCCACACAGGTGCGGAACAATGGCCAAGGCCACGGCCACGGCCACACATACACCACCTATAAATGTTAACCACATGTGTCCCTTGCAGGGGCAGATGGTGGTATATTCCTCACCTTCCCCCTCTTCGTACTCTTGTTCCATTTCTTAAATATTACAATCACTCCCTCTTCGCTTTGCTTTCACACACTCTTTACCATAGCTTCTCTACCTTTCTCTTCAGGTTTTATTCTCTGTCTCTCCACTGTACCGGAAAGAAAACAGAAAAATGAAGAGGAAGGAGACTGTGAGAAAGATAGGAGGAGAAGGAGAGTGACGAGAGCTGAGGTCACCTTGATCTACAGCCTTCTACCTACACTGCAGCTGGGGGTCAACGGGCAAAACACAGGAAACACTTTCAGGGACACAGACATTCTTTAACACACACTGTTGTGTTTAAATGTATGTCTTCTCTCTTGTATCCATTCATATCTTTGCCAAGTCATTAAGGCATAGTGCACCACACACTTAACATACAATACTGTACTGATACACCACAGATATTATTTTCTTACCATACGGTCTGATATAATGCTGTTGGAAACCAGCTATTTAGCAGGAGGCTGCAAATGCTTGAAAATTCAAGAAATCTTTAGTACATAAAGTTTTGTCTCTGTAGGAATGGTGAGTGTACTCCCCTAGAAAACTGAAATGTAATCACTAATCTCATTATACACTTTCACACTCTGATCCATTGAATTTAACCTGCTCCAGGGCTGTGCACCATAGGTTACAGTCTGGGTTTGAACCCAAATTCAGACCAGACGTGAGGTGTCAGGGGCATTTAAGCACTAGGAAAGCGTCCATTCAGTCAAAAAACACGGACTCTAAAAGTCTGTGTAAAGAACTGATTGACTGACAAGTGATGGCCAAAAACACTTTAAAACTTCACCTCACAAAACTTGGACTGCTGTCCATTTACACCGAACATATTAGGCCTTATGGTAAACAAAGTTTAAAGCTCACCAAATTACTTTAAATCACTGTTTTATACTAACATATAATTTAATTTATCAAAGTGTGTGTATATGTCACTCTGAAGGAACGAGCTAAAAATACTACACCAGCCTCAACTCACTGGACGGTTACAAACACACACAAACAAACACAAACACAAACACACACACAGACAGGAACATTGAGGAAGTCTCGGCTGTGATCCATCATTGAAGGACTGAAAATTATGACACCACAGAGAGAAAGAGAGAGAGAGACACCAAGAGGGGAGCAAAACCGCTCACACACACAGCAGCACACAGTAGAGTCTCTGTGTTGTCAGTAACCACCTTCGAGACCCCGAGGTGTCATAAATGACTTCAAATAGGACGGAGAGAGACGGAGGGATGAGAGAGGAAGAGAGAGGAGAGTGATGCATGTTATAATGACTTCATTTGACACAGCCACTCTCTAACACCCACTGCTTATTCTCTTAAACACCAATTCAAACAATTTTGACACACACACACACACGCACATGATCTTTATTAAGAGTGCGACATCCATCTTACTGAATCCTTTTGAGCTTATTCTATCCATTGAGTGGATTTTTGGCAATATTCAATAACTGGAAATCTTTTGCAACGAAGGAATTGTTACGTCTTATCTCTTTGAGCGATTTCGAGGATGACAACTCCATCATTATTATTTGAATGCCAGTTTAGTTTCACAGTTTGTGAATCAGGGGAAAGAAAAGTTAAGACAAAGCTCTTCAATCCCTTGGTGCAATGTGCATGTGTGACAAAAATTATGAATGGTTTAACAGACCATCCCATAAGCTAATGTCACATCATACAGATACTGAAAGCAGCTATGGTAGTGTCATAAGCTGAATGCATGCCAAAAAAAAAGTATATTTTGTGTCACAAATGCCACAGAATAACTATTTGTTTCATCAGAATTTGATTAATGAAGTCCAATAAAAGTTGAAACTGCCATATCAGTAACTTTTCAGGCTATTCATGTGTGCATTCAGCCAACAGAAGATCAACTGGATAGAAAAAGACCTCCATGATTATAAGTGAAACTCTGCAGCTCTGACTTTTGACCTTATTTATTAATGTTGATCCAGGAAAACCATCTGCTTTTGCACTCTAAGCTAACCTAAATTTGAGCATCACACAAATGCCTCAAGGGGGGACAAGTAAGTAAAAAAAAAAGATATGGACAGAGAGTGAGAAGAAAGAAGACAGATGGAGGGAAGTACAGTGAAGAAGAAATTCACCAAACTCCCAGTAGACTCATCCACTCAGGGGTTGGTTAATTCACTAGACCCACGAGAACCTTTAGTGTGTGTGAGTGTGTCTTGGTGTGTGTGAATAGACCTCTGTGTGGAACCACAGAGGCATTTGGTCATGTTTATATCCTTGTTTTTGGCCTGGGCGAGTGTGTACATATCGGTATGTGTGTGTGTGTGTGTGTGTGTGTGTGTGTGTGCGTGTACATGGAGTGTGTGCGTGTACATGGAATGTGTGCGTGATCTCTGTGAAGGTGTATCCACACCAGCGGAGTGACGTGTAAGGTTGTGTGTGTTAGTGTGTGTATCTGCGGACAGAAAATGTAAATAAATACAAATTCATATGAAAGTGTTGTCACCGGAGATTTGTAGAACATTTGAACTCTGTGTGTGTTTGTGTGTGTATGTGTGTGGTGAGTGTGGGAGGGGTAGGTTAATCCTAAATTTACCCTCGGTGGTCGGAGGACTGTGGTCACATCTGGACTCAGTTTCTCTCTGCCTGTCTTGTTTTCTTTGCTGCCCTCGTCATTGCCACCTCACCTGTGCTCCCTTTCTCCTCTTTTTTACTCCATCATACACCTTTTCCATCTCTCCTCCTATCATTTAAATAACTTACCAAAAACCTTCCCTGGTGTCCACTTGGATGTCAAACTTTGTGTGTACATGTGTGTGCAGGAATCCTACCTGCTGTTTGAGCTGATGAACCAGACTATCCTTCTCCCTCTTCAGACCTGCCACCTCCTCCTGAGTTTTCTTCTTCTTGGATGAGGAGAGCTCAAGCAGGGCGATGTTGGCGTCTTTCTCGCTTATGGCTGCTAGCAGCGCCTCTTGCCTGTACAGAGAACAACCATACATTTTGTTAGCAATACTAGCAAATAAATTGACTTAACTCAAGCCAAATGATGTGGTGTAAAAGACAATGGTGAATTACTTTTTTGCTAAATCAAAGCTTTCAAAGCAATTGTTAAAAAAAAAAAAAAAAATCTAGTGGTATCCAGACATACAGATAGTTTGGTATTTATTTCCCCAGGTCTTGAGATAACTGAGAGCTCTGCCTCCACCCCAATACAACGAGGTGATTAAACTATTCAACAGCAACACCTTTTTCTTGAAATCAGCTGAAATCTTCTGTGGATCATCCAGAGAAACATGGACACAAGATGTTCATCTGGAGTTTGTTTTTTTTTAAGTATATTTTTTGGGGCTTTTTATTGCCTTTATTATAGTGACAGCTGAATATAGACAGGAAAGGGGGGCAGAGAGAGGGGATGACACGCAGCAAGGGGCCGCAGGTCCGATTCGAACCCTGGGCCGCTGCAGCAGGGACTCAGCCTCGGTACATGGGTCGCCAGCTCTGCCCACTGAGCTAACCGGGCGACCCAATGTGAAGTTTTTTGAAATGTCATTCTACAACTTTATGAGCACCACAAAAAATTCTCCCTTGTAATCGGGGTGGAGACAGAAATCCCGAAGATGGATATCTCAAAATCTGGACAAAGGAAACCAAAACTATCTCTAAGGCTAGATACTAATTTGGGTGTACTTTAATGTCATGGTAAACCTACGGCATGTCAACAAGTGGAGGGAAGTCCTCTTAATCGGAGCACCACTTTGTGATTTAGGATAAAATTGGCGTAATTTTGCAAAAATATGGGTCTTCCTGGTGGTCAAGTGTGACGCATACCATGCAATCAAGATGTTTCCAGTTTGTTCATGGTGGGGACCTTTATGGCACATGTTCACTCTTTCTCTTACTCCCTTATTTCTCTCCATACTATCTACTATCCAATAAAAGCAAAGAAAAAGGCAAAAATGGCCTAAAATCTTATTTTTTGGCATTTCTGCATGCAGTGGAGCTTTTACAAACATCTCTCTCTAATAGTGAAACACTTAGTAATGGGGAGACTGTTGGACTCGTGTTGGTCTTGCTCATGGCCACTTCAGCAGAGCGTAACTTCACAAGGCTACTTGGCTTCCAACAAAGTACAGATGGCAGAGCGTATTTGGCTCCAAAGCTACACACATTAGCAGTTAATCACATTGTGTTAAACTCATTTGAACTTTTTTTCAACAATATCAATAAATGCCTCTCACTTATGTTTCCATACAGGTATTACGCTATAGTCTCTGTCTGTCTTTTCCAGCCCTCTTGTCTCTCTCTGTCTCTTCCCCCTGCCTGCATGGTCGGGCTGACAGATAGATAGCATTCCATGTGGTTGGGAAGCAACAAGCCGCATCCCATCCATCCCATCAACCACAGATCTGGCCGAGCCACCTCTGAGGACACCCAAGGCTCTAAATTCTCGGAATTCTGTCTGTTTCCGGAGAGAATCTAAATCACAATGGGTTTTCCGCAATCCCACAAGGCTCAGCGCTTGGCCACACATAATCACACATGCACACAAAGATGCAAACTTAAATGCGAAACAACAATATGTTCCCTCTTCATTGGTCTCTCTGAATCTCAATTCTTACATCCATGATATTTTTATGTAAGGAGACAGAGACACATACAGATACAGTAGTGCAGTGAGGAATGCAGTGATGAGAGTGTCTAAATGAAGACAGATTACATGTTTGGACTACGTGAAGACCCACAGATTCTTTGGTCAACCTCACTGACCACGCTGTCAGTGTACAAGTGTCCCATCATGCATCTGGACTGCAGCAATCCTGTCAGGAGCAGCGGCTGAGGGAGTTCAGACTGGGGTTGGTGGATCGATTCTCTAAGCAAGTCTGGTCACAGTCAGACTGCTCCGAGCTTGTCAGTCAAACAGTTTTAGATTTGTGAAAGTGGATGCAACATTTTGTGAGATTACTGATATTGTACATAATGTATGATATCACAATATATCTTTATATTTCTCTCATTTGTTGATTGTGATGATATCTGATGAGAAATTGTAGAAATGTATTTTTATAACCTAAAGACAAAGAGCACCAAAGAGCTTTCAATGGTTTCTTTTTTGTGACTAAACTTCAAAGAAGAGCTGACTGAAAGTAAGGCAGCCTCACACTCGTAACTGGGTTTTTAAATTTTTTTTTTAAATATCCAGTCAAATAATTAATAAACAATAATAAGAATTTGAATCTAAGCATAGACCAGCCTTATTTATAAACTTGATTTATTAATTAATTGATAGAATTACCATCATTTCAACCTCCTATACAATATATATCATACAATTTTAATTTCTGTCTGTTTAAACACCCTTGATAATTTTTAGGGAATCCAAAATACTCCTTCTCCTTATCAGTTTAACCATTTAAATATATATATATATATTTAAAAAAAAAGTGAGCTCTTGGACTTCTTTATGCAATCAAACGTTTATTTCCTTCCCGATTGTGAGACACTGGAACACTGTCAGTCTTTCCCTTTCTTTTTTATATAAACACTAGTACACACACACACACACACATACACACGTACACACACATACAGAGAAAGGCTAATGGAACATTAGTCTTGTTAAAGCTAACAGTGCGTCGAGTTTTATACCATATCTGAGAGTTACCTGCCAGCACATGGCACTTATAAACCCCGGTGATAAAATGATATTTATTCCAGATGCACCCGTCTCATTCTGGGCCTCTCAATGGTTCTCCCTTCATCTCTGTCTAACACACAGAAATACCCGCACACACACACACACACACACACACACACACACACACACACACACACACACACACACTTAAAACACTCATTGCTTGGCCTTCTCAGCTTGCAGAGCTAAACACGTGCTTATAACAAGTGCTGGTTGTGGCTACTGCTGTTGCTATGTGATCATTAAAATCTGTTTCAAGTGCAGCTCTCTTTTGCCAAATCTTTAGATAATTCTACTGTCAGAGGGCACTTAAAAAACATAGTATGCTCTCAGCTCTGCTGGCAATGTGTCCTTACCAGTGAAAGTAACAAAGACGCTGCAGCCAGCACGGTGAGGAAGAAAGCTTCCCAGTGGATATGCAGCCTTAGATCTGTAACTTTCCTTTCAAGTCTTTTCTTTCTGCAGCAATATGGAGAGCACACTAGGATAAAAGAAGGTCTTCTAATAGTGAGCAAGGAATACAAGCTTGTAAAAGAGGGCATCTCTCACTCATATTCTCCTTATTTTGGCTACATATTTTGTCTTAAATGCTGTAGTAATTGTGCAATGCAAATCTCAGAGATTACTTATCAATCTGTGACATATTTGTCTCTGTTCTTTGAGTGTTCAGCCATGGTATCTGCTGTTAGCTTGCATGCCAACAAACAAAAGCACTGCATCACTAAAACTCAGCCTCCTCCTTCACTGTGTTGTAAGTGACCACTTTTCTTGGGTTTTGTTGAGGTCCCAAATAAGGAAGCTCCAGCTAAAAAGTGCAGGATTGTTGAACTTGGCCCAACTTTTGTCGCAGACAATACAACGTTGTCCAGCAATGCAGTGTGTTGATGAGTCAAAAATGTACAAGGCCACATTCCTAGTAGATTACAAAAGTGAATGAAATAAGTCCTTTACCTCACAATAAGTGAGACAGAGGATAAAATGACTGCTGCTGTTTTAAGTTTCCATATTATTAAGTTCTGTGCAATGTTTTGGCATCTGATAAGCCTTTAAGCTCCTGCTTACTGCTTAGTTCTTCTGCTGTTTTTTCCCCCCAACCCAATCTACAGAGATGGGCTTGGATATTGGATAATACTGCAAAGCTCCCGGATTATGTTCAATGCCAACATTTCTCAAATTCTTTTTTTCCATATATCTGTGCTTGACATCTACAGTATGCTTAAAGTTAGGGAAAAATCATGGTTATGGCAAATAAATTAATTGTTCTTAAGGTATGGTTAAAGTTAGGCAACTAAAAAACTTGGCTATGGTTATAAAAAAAAAAACAACAACTAACATTTATTGTACATCTGGTATGGGACACAACATTTGGGTTAGACATGCAACGTGCTTATCCACAACTCCTTACTTTCGGCCTGACGACATAAAGGGCACACTACTTTCTACACTGGCATTGGATGTAAATAGTGAGGTACAAAATCATCCAATCACTTTGAGTGTTTATAAAAAAAACTGTAGAAGTACGCTGAAAACTGCAATTGTGCTTCATACAGGTGGGAATAATGGCCATATATCTATAGGAACATTTTACATGTCATTTAAAATTTAACAAGTTTCCATTTACGTTATATTCTCTCCCCACTTCCTTTTAATCTCTCTCTCACCTATTCACTATCAGTACCTCTCGCCCACCCTGCATTTCTCATCTCTTTCGCTTCACCTCCCTCTCCCCTCCATCCCTCGTCACTCGTTCTATCTCCCCACCTCTTCTCTCTCGCCGTCTGTAAAGAAGGCAGGAGGCATTCTTTCCGTCGTTTGGCGGTCGTGTGCCATGATGTCATCGCCGTGGTGACAAGACAGACAGTAAGCAGATACACACAAACGCACCAGGCACCTGACCCCAACCCCAACACACAGACACACGCACATGTGGGGGCTCTCTCCTTCCTAAAACCACTTAAGGCCCCTCACTTTATCAGAAACACTAATGCCTGGTCTTAGATCACTTACATATTTCTGCACACACACACACACACACACACACACACACACACACACACACACACACACACACACACACACACACACACACACACACACACACACACACAGACCAAAGCAGCTTCCTCCCGTGTGTGTGCTGCGTTATCTCCTTCATGCTGTCACCCCCTACTGCAATCTACAGTGCGTGTTTGTGTGTGTGTGTGTGTTCAAGTGACAGTTGTATGTCTGTGTTTATGACAGCATGTCTTTCTGTATGTGTGTATGCGCTCATAAGGATGTA